ATCCTTTTTCTATTTAGCGCTTTAAAATTGAAAAAATAAAATAGTTATGCAGGTATAATCTTAATTTAAAAAAAAAAAACACCTTTTTGCACTATTGATGGACACCCCTAACTTCAATTATTCTAGTAATGGACAGAGGGTACCAGTAACGGACATACCTCAGAAAAATTCTAAATTTTTATTTAACCATAAAGACAACGATTAAGATAAGATAACATAAATGTTCAACTTACTCTTAGCAAAACTGTTAGTAGGAAGATAGGAAACACCGATCTCAAGAGCACTATAGAACACTGGCGGATGCAGGAATTTTCTCAGGGGGGGCGCACCTCTGTACCACGTGATTCCCCCACCCCTATCTGTTCCCCCACCACTACCCATTTCTCCCCACTCCTTAGCTGAGTTTAGCCGCTCAAAAGTCCTCTTTAAATGGTTTTAACAAAAGCAAACTCTATTTTAGTTTAGAATAAATTTTGACTAGTTTTCAGTGAAGCTATCATAAATCACTTAACTTCATTTTTTAATATTTTTTATCACTTCGTATTCAACAAAAAATGTGACACATAAAAAATCACAAAACTTCAATTCCCTACTTTCCTGCTAAAAATCGAACCATTGTTTAATAATCTTTTTTGTATTTATTGAGTTTTGCTATCACTTCTCTAAATATTTCCCTCTGTTCACGAGACACCCTATATATGGTTTTAGACATGTAAAAAACTAAATTCTAACACGGGTTACCAAGAGAAAACTTTTTACAGCCGAAAATTAGAGATTTATCTGATCTTTTTTTTCATGTATTACTACTAAACAGTGCATCTAAGCGAAAAACGTATTCTTTAAGAAATTAAAAAACGTCAAATTGTGCGTTGAACGAGAACCTAAACTTAATAATTTGATTAAGTGATATGGTCGATGAACGCTAATTTTTACCGATATAGTCAAAATCTGAGAAAGATTACTATAAATGGCCCTGCAGCTTGGAAATGTTATCTAAGAAAAAAAAAACTCCGAAATAAAGAATAATTTCCGATTCAGGTCAAATCGACGACCAAATAATTAGTACATTCCAACCACTAGCGGATCCAGGATTTAATTTTGGGGGGCTTCAGCCCGAAACCTTTTTTTTCATAAAAATAACGATAATTACTTTGGAAAAACAGAAAGAAACTAACTACCTATATGAAATGGTATTTAAGTGATTCCTCAAGTCCTTTTAAATGTAATTACACGAACAATAATACTTTAAGAGGTTTTTTTTAAAAAAAAATTTTCCATTTAGTTAGTTGCTTGATTTTCCCAACTTCAACTAGACAACTTCCCAGGAAAAAAAGAAAAAAGAAGTTTTTTTTTCCATAAAACATGGTTGTATTTTACCATTTTGGGAGACTTCAGCCCGAAAGCCTCCCCTCCCCCCGTAGATCCGCCGGTGATTCCAACAGCAGCTATTTTAATAAAAGAACAACACATTCTAATTAGAAATATACAAATTATTATCGTGACCAGTTTTATGATTCGATTGGATTCTTCAAAAAGATTATAGTTGCTGAAGGTTGCAATGCGTTCAGATCTAGTGAAACTGCGTAAAAACTGGGTCCCATATTTTCTTGTGCTCGAATAAAAGGTTCGAAAGAATAAATGAAGTTGAACCTGCGAGACTCAGTTCGGAGTCAATAGGAACAAACTGCGAAAGGAGCAAAAGCCTTCACATCTCACCACGGCACAAAAACTACATCATTCTTTTTTTTAAATAGATGTTTTTCTGGATCTTTTTTTTCGAAATTATTTTTCTAACATCCAGAGGGGGGCGCGCCACCTGGAAAAAAATCACTTGTGCTGGTCACGATAATAACTTTTTTCGTCAAAATCGACTAACCGGAAGTGGTACTTTATATCATCGACTAAACACATTTTTATGATTTTCTCCAAAACGGTTCAAACGATTTTGATTAAATTCATTATATCAATGTAAAATTAAGCACTTTTAAATAAAATATGGATTTTATTCTGATTGATGTTCTCTAACAGACTTTATATGAATAATTTTCAATATTAGCTTCCCCTGAAGTACCTTTATTTTTTTTTTATTTGACCATTTCGCATTCATCTCTAATATAAAAGATAGTTAAATATAAACGATGAAAGAATTAGATAATTAACTGAAGGAGGAATAAGAGATCGTAAAGGAGAATAGTTGTAATTGAAGAGAATGATAGTTGGAGTGATCAGTTAAAACAAAAAATAATAAAAATAAATAATTATATTTATTTTTATAATATATATATAAAAATAAATATAATTATTACCCCAACCATCCTTCTCTTCAATTATTCATCACAGCCAAACATCAACTCACAATTGAGAATAGTTAATTAATAAGTAATTGAGAAACCAAAGGAATATAAGCTCACTCGAGCTCCTCCCATAGATTAGAACAAACACGCTTCCATACGTAACATGAGTTTAATACAATAAACTCCGACAATATTGTGCAAACATACATACGCGGTTGTCATAAATGCTATTGTTGGTATTATTTAATTGTAAAGATTAAAGCGATATAAATATTAAAATTTGTATATATAAGGGTACTTATACAAATAAAGACACCCACAAGGAAATATAAATCAATTTAGCGTTTACAATTTTAACTCTCACTTCTCTTTTCTCTTAAAATACTTATTTCTGCTAAGAGGGTGGAAAGTGAAAATTGTGTGATGTGCGGCGCACCGCACTAGATTATTTTAATCGAAATAATACGTTGTCCTACGCAGTTGTATTTTAATTTTTAATTTTAATATTTACTGGAAGAAAATAACTGAACAAGTGAACGATGAAATTTAAAACAACATGGCTATTATCAGCGTTTTCTATAATCCCATAATCTGACTATGATAAATGTGAATATTTTACTATATGCCGGAAGGAGACAAATTCCTATGTATTTATTACAATATACCTTCAATTTCTTTTTGTAAATTGGATTATGTAAAGATTCATTCCATTTCACGGTTATAACTAAAACTTTTTTTTTTTATGAAATCAAAGCGAATGGAAATAGTTGTAAATGAAATTTATCAAGTCTCTAATCAAATTTGGTTATTTAAAATTTTTGATTTCAATCACTAATGGGAGCCACAGGCGGACCTATGGGGGAGAAGAGGGGGGGGGGGCTTCAGGCTGGAGCCCCCCAAAAATGGTAAAAATATATCCATGTCTTAAGAAAAAAATTATTTCTAAAAAGTTTTATTGTTTTTTATTACATTTAATAGGACTTCAATAATCACTTAAACACCATTTCTTACAGGTAGTTAGAATCTTTTTTTTCTTCCAAAGTAATTATTGTTATAATGACTAGGCCCCCCCCACCAAAAATTAATTCCTGGATCTGCTTGTGATGGGGTCTATAATTTTCAAGTTCAATGTCCTTCATAATCAATGAAAATGAAAGGATGGGAGGTTGCACACATTGTTACAATAGTAACATGCATGGCTCTATGTCCAGTAGATTTAATCATTAAGTTCTCCAGAATTTTAATAATTAATGCTACAACTATACCTAAATCAATCTTATAAACTTTGGGATAATTTTTCAACTTTAAAAGAAATGTCTTAGAGTTTGGAGATTTTATGTTTTATCTTCTAAAGCCAGCAAAGGCCATGACAAATTTACAATTTAACTTCTTCTTTTTATTGTTATTCATGCAAAACTAATTAACCTAAATAGAACTTCTATGCATCAACAAGTAAGTATTTTCTTTTCAAAATATTAATTTACACTGCTTACGGTTGAAGATTTGAATAAAAAAAAAAAAAGAAATATTAGAAGTAGAATAATAAGAAACATTTAAAGTAGATTGTTATCTTTTGAAGTGTCACATTACAATCAGTGAGAAGTTGATGACAGGTAAACAAATAAACAAATGCACGGTTCTTATACAATTAGTAACGACCAAAATATAAAAGAAAAAAAAAGTATGACAGCACTCAAATTACTTTAAAATCAATAGTAAATTAGTTAAAAAGAGAAATGAAAATAACTAAAAATGGTATTTTCCAAACAATAAAAAATATATATATAAAAGAACCAAACTATTATTTTTAATAAAATCAGATTTTGAATATTGATAAGTTTCAATGTCCAAATAACTTTTTTTTTTTCTAACAACAATGAACGAAGTCCTAATTCTTAATTCTCAGCATATATGATATTTTCAGTATAATTTTGTTGTTTAGTTTGTTTGAGGAAGACTTAGGATAAGAAAATACACTATAAAATGTACTCAAAATGATTAAAAACTTGTCGGTTAAAATTATCAAAATAATCACATATTTTATAAATTTAAAGCCCCGGAAGAAGTAATTGGACAAATATATTAATTATTCTAAAAGTTTCAGATCGATTTAATGTGTATGGTATTATCTATATTCATTAGGTTTTCCAAATGCAATATTTTTGTATTTTAACACACTCATAAATGAGTTTATTGAAAGCAGTATAAGAGTTATGAGGCAGTCAAGCATTATGTTACAATGGTTATTAAATTAAAAGCAAATAGCTCATTATGTAGGTCTTATATTTGCAAAATCAGTTTGATAAATGTTTAAGTGAGAATTGAAAACTCGGATGAAGGCTATTCAATAGTTATTCTTTTAATAACAAAATAAAAAAAAATCAATATTAGCAGATAAATTATAGAGTTAAAAAAAAATTGTAAAACTCATTTATTTATTAAATTAACACTTATAAAATAGCTAGTTTTATCCTTTTGAAGGTTATATACTGAAATAAACACTTTATAGGTGCTTATTCATTAAATTTAACTGTTATCATTATGAATTCGTTTGAATATTGAAATATAACTTTTCAAACTATTGAATGTTTCCCTCTAAAATGGAATGTCAATGCCGATGTTAGAAATAACACATATAATACTGAACGTAGAATAAACTGTTATATTATATGACTGAAGTATTTAAAGTTATCATTATATACTTACAGTTGTAACTTTATGAAGTCGTATTAACAATTATTCATTCTAACACTAAAGACACCACCACACCACTTGAATTCTGAATTCAAACTGAGAGCAATCCCGTTATCATATTCTTATATCTACCTCCTTATCACTATCCGAAGTGACGTTGCACAAGACTATCCAATAACTAATTCTTCCCGAATTTAAAAATTGTATAAAATTAGTTTAAAATCAATCATATATGAAATGATTGAATTTTAAGTAATTTAAATAATTATTTGATTGAGTATCAATGCTTAAAAATAAGACATCAATAGCGAAACAGAAACTAGAAATTTAACCAACGGGAAGTTTAAATTTCCCCGCCCCTTCTTTAACCTACCCTACTATAAATGCCAACATTTTTATAACAATACTTTTGTTCATATCCTTAAAAATAAATAACATCTTGTTATATAAAAATAATACAGAACCACAAATAAATAATTTTTACTTATTCTAAAAATAAAATTTCGCTTGGATTATGTGCCCCACCCCTATTTTTTCGGCCTTCGGCCTCAATAAAGTGTAGAAAAATTAAACTGTCCAAAACTTGTGTTTTTCCTGTATTCTTTTTTATTCTTGATACCCTTATTCCTATCTCTTAAAATGTGCTTAGACATTTCACAAACTAAGGGAAACACAATAAATGTTTTTTTTTCCTATGCCAGTGTTTTTGTTTCTTGATTTTGAAGTTTTTAATCTGCTTTCTTTTATAAACTTTCAGGATTTCTATTCTTACTTATTTCTTATTTTTGTGGAAATACAATTAAATTTATATGTACATATTTAGTTTTTTTTTTTTATTTTACTTTCCGTTCTTATTAGGATCTGTATGATAATTTCTAATTAACTATCATACACATTTTCTCACAAAAGCATTATTCAACCTTTGAGTGTGTGAACACATTTCAATTTTTTACTTTGAAAACATAGCCATAAGTTTCCTGTAAACACCAAACTGTTACTTTCTCAGTCACTTCCAAATACTAAAGATGACCGATACAGAATGGGACTGTGGAAAGCTTCTGTATAAATGGACTATTTATATATATATTTTTTAGTTTTTTTCATTAAACTATTGAGTCCATTCTTCTCGCAAACTATGGTATCATCATAGACTCTTTTATTTGCTCATTCTACGTTTTTATGCTTAGATCTTTTCTTCCTCTTCCACAAATTTTACAAAAGTTAACCTCTCCTGCCGATCTCCATTCAGGCATTTTTTCCAGTCCATCCTACTTGATTCTCTTTTCGATTCCTTCAAGATTTTTTTTTTTTTTTTTGTTCCTCCGTCTCTTCTCGAATTTCTTCATTTTTTATTTTATTCATTCAGAATATTCTTGCCATATTGTCGTCAGTAATCCATTTCAGTTGTCAGTTGTTTCTACTTTAAGCCTTCCCTTTATGTTCCATATTATCACTGGGATGCCCATCCCCAGCAAGATCGATGGCGAAAAAGGCTACTCTCCCCCTCTTCCTCCCAAGATATAATATTGGTCACCTTTTCTTAAAAATAGAACAAGTTAAAGTATAATTACAAAAATCGTAGATAATATGCCATTACACATGCTTTTGCTGTCTGTTCCATGTTTTCTCCTAATTCCTTAGTCCGAAAATTCATAACCTCATCAAAATATGCCCCCCGCAAAAATTTTGATGGTGCAACTTGCGCCATTAAACTCCATTCTGGGCACTCATGATATATCATATTGCTCGATACTATACTTTTATCTATATTCATTTTGGTTTTACGAATGAAACTCCTGCTCCATAATACTGAAATGAATATTGATATTATTTTCTTATCTTCTACATAGTTATTTTGAATTTTATCAGGAATTATTCAAGTGTGGAGCCACGGTATTTGAAGTGCTGAACTATTTTCAATGCCTTTCCATAAGTCAGTTCTATGTCATCTGAATATAATTCAATTAATTAGATACATTGTAATGTATTTATGATGTGTATGAAACAGAAATATAGGGATAAAATCAGTGTTTTAATAATGAAAAAATATTTGTTTCTTTCGAATTTTTTTCTACATAATATTATCGAAGTACAGAAATATCTGAGTCTGCTCGCTCATGAGACAATCAAAAGCTGATTCTTTATCTATAAGATAGATAAATTACTAAGCAGTCCTATCTTTATATCTTTACTTTTTAGGAATAAAAATGATTATGTGCAGTAAAAAAATTATTTTTGAAGTGAAAATTTCTTTAGGCACGCTTTGTACTTTGTATGTGGATAGTGAATTAGATTAAACATTCACGCTCGGTGTGTAACGCTCATTCGGGTGAAGTCGGCTCGAGCCTACTAATTAACGTGTGTTTGCATTTGGATAAAAATATTTCAGACATTAAAAATCGGATCTGCATACCTTAAGCGAGAAAAACATTCATCATTTCATCCTTTTTGCAATGCACTATAAATCGGAATAGTATCTTAACGCAACACCGTGTTAGAAATTTCTAAAGGTAAAAAAACAATTATATTTCATATTATTTATCTCGCCCTATAGATGTTTTTACTTCTATCGTGTAGTTTTATTTAGTTTACCTATACTTTGTCGAATATCGCGACATTGTTCATTTAAACATGTGGTTCTTCATTTGAGCAATGGTTTAAAGGTCAGACACAAACTATCCGTTATTTACAGATTTAAAATATCTGTTCTTGACCAGCCTTTAAACCATTGACCTGATGACTCACATGTTTAGGTCGAAACGTTCGCAAATCCAATAAACAAATTTTTGTATACACATCCTAACCATTTTTAATCTTTATAAATTCAACAGTCAACATATATCCATTTCTAAATTTTTTTACCTTTTAAGTACATTATTGTGGATTTTAATCTTTTCGAAACAAAGCGTTATTAAGTGCCTCAAAAAGACACAAACCCTTTTATATATTATATAGGTTCAGTACCTTTTAAGCAGTACTGTTTCAAGGAAAATGGCTGAGCAAAGTGATAGGATCACGCTCAACCGCCATGTTTTCTCCCTTGATTAATTATTTAATTAAGAGTACAGCCCTCTCTTAGCCACTGTCATATTCATCATTCTGGGCTGATTTAAAAGTTTTATATATAGACAAAAATTTCAATTTCTGAAAATTGTCAAATACTGAAAATCTGTTGTTCAAAAGATATCAGGTTTACGAAACCTTTTCGGGTCTCAAGTTGTAGCACATTTAATCTACTTTAAAAATATATAGTGGTTTTTTGTCGAAACTTGCGAAAATGTAGCAGTTTTGCTAATATTTAAAAATGAACAAGGGGGCTCCCCCAGGTCAAAAAATTTGGATTTTGTAACTCAGACACATTCGATACAAGAAAAAAACGAAACATTCCATTACCACTTGAGGCAAGCCCAACAACTTTACAAGGTTACTGGACTACAAGTTATCGCTTGAATTAAATTGCCGTTCAAATTTATGCAATTTTATTTGCATTCAAGGACCCTATTGTAACGCTTTTTTATTTATTCAATTAATGTACTTGATACAGTTTTCTTTTTTTTTTTTAATGTCTAAACACACACAGCTGTCTCTCAGACTTTGACAATTAGTAGATAATTTCTTTACGATATAATTAGAATTTCGGACTAAATGTATCATAGCAACCTTCAGTTCAACAAGTTCGTGGAACAGAGCCCTTTTTATAAAATTATTAACATCTGTCTATGGCTTTATCTTATCGCAACCTACAAATTTTTACTTTCACTTACCTATACATATATGAAATATATAGCAAGGGACAGTATTGCGATCGTGAAAATTTTCGAATCTGAGTTTTCAACGGAAATATATCTTTTGAGGTCCCTTGAGTCCAAATAACCAAGTCCCGCAAAATGGTCTGTGTGTGCGTGTCTGTATGTATGTGACAGGTAATAAGAATAATAAGGCTTAGCGAACCCGAAGGTTCGATGCCGACACCACCAATCGCTTGTTACACACCTCCCTCCACCGTTCGCCGTCCAAACCCAGTCCCTTCAGATCAGCTTTAATGCAATCTTCCCACCTTCGCTTCGGTCTACCCCTCCGACGCTTACCATTCGGCACAGCAAATATTAACCTTTTAGGAATTCTCTCGTTACTAAGCCCAACAACTTTACAAGCCCATTTGATTCGCCGCGATGAAATTACCTCAATTATATTACCCGGATATAGCTCACGCAATTCGGCGTTGTGTAACCGTCTGAACTCTCCGGTTAACTCATCCTTCTTCGGTCCGAATATTCTACGCAATACTTTATTTTCAAAAACCTTAAGACGCTGCTCATCCCTTAATGTAAGCGGCCAAGTTTCGCATCCATAAAGAACTGTAGGCAAGATAATTGTTTTATAGATTCTAATTTTTAAGTTTCGGGACAAGAGGCGCGAACTGAGTAGTTTTGTCACAGAAAAATAACAAGCATTCCCCGCCTTCAGTCTAACTTTAATCTCTTCTTCAATTTCGTTTTTTCTAGTTATCGTAGAACCTAGATACCTAAATTTATCTACCTGTTCAAACATATTACCATCTATATCGATATCACCAGTAGTATCGCCATTTTTGCAGCTAACCATATATTTTGTTTTATCCACGTTTATTTCGAGTCCTAGTTCTTTACCGGCTTTCATTAACGTTGTCGTATTTAGTTTTATAGTTTCAACGTCTTCGCTTAACAGTACCAGATCATCAGCATAGCCCAGCACGGATGTTGTCCCGCCCAGATCCAACCCTTTCTCGGTACGCATTACCTCCCTAATGGCATGTTCTAATGCCAAATTGAACAGGACAGGCGAAAGAGAATCCCCCTGTTTTAAGCCCGAACGAACCTCAAATTTTTCGGACAAATTATTACCGATTCTAACTTTATTGAGTGTCTCCGTCAAGCACATCCTGACTAGATTTACTAGTTTTTTTGGAATTCCCTGCTCGATTAGAATATTATACAGTTTCTGGCGGTCAATAGAATCGTAAGCCTTTTTAAAATCTATATACAGCTGGTGAACAATACCGTTATACTCCAATTTTTTCTCTAATATTTGCCGTAAAGAAAATA